GAAGAAATGGTATGCCAGGGCTTCAACCCAACAGTCATGCACTGAAGACTTCCCCAATGCACTGATTAAAACTTTCACCATTCAATTAATATAAAATTATGTCAACAGCCTATGTCACTTAAAAAATTCATTTTTTAAACTAAGTGTTCAAATAAATATGTTAAATTTAAAACTTATTTATAAATCCACTTACATCATGAAGGTAAAACATTAAAACCTAAATATAAATATCCATTTTTAATTTTTTTATGTCTTTTAGTCTCAAAACCACATGTTAGGGTCTTTCTTTTATGTATTGCGTTATGGCGTTTTGTGAAAAATCTGTACGTGATGGAGAAAAATGGATATCATTATCAGATTCAGCATACAAGAATTACTGTATAACATGGAAAAATTTCAAGACAATAAAGCCATTGCAGGCCTGTGTTACTTTTGTAAGTCATGGTTAAGCTGAACAAACTTGAATTAACCAAAATAATAATGAAGTCATGGCAACAGTTGATTAAACTAAACAAATTTGAATTAATCAAAAATAATAACGAAAAATTGTGATGGCAATATTTCAATTAATGGAAAAACAGTAATAGTTGGAAACACTAATTTTGATTAGTTACTATTTTCATGAAAATAACTGATTTAGTCATAATTACAATTACTGGATAACTCGATTAACTGAAAACAGTAACAATTGGAAACACTAGTTGACTAATTTCATGATGTTAGTCCATTTAATCATAATTTAGATTATTACTTATTTTACAACATCAATTGACGTATGCAATGCTCATAGGTAATCAGTTATATTGATTAATCGAGTTAATCACCCAGCTCTTTGTTAGCAACTTATACATGTAAAAGGAAATTTCTCATTACTCAAACAGTTTTGTAATTCAAATTGCTCACTGCAAGTGGGGGCAAACTAATAATTCCTAAAACTTCAATAACAGTCTAAAATCCAGGATTGAAAAAGACTATTAATAAACTCTAAAACAACCAGAATTAAATGTCAATGATCTCTTGTTTGAATTGAGAATTTTGTTAAACCTGAAATACCATTTAATTTTCACTGATGCTTTTACATTAAATTATTTTGACAATTTTGGAAATTATACCATTTGTATATACATTTTTTCAAATCAATTCTTTAACTACTGATGCTGGTTATCTACATGCTGCAGAACAGAATATCAACTTTGTACCACTAAAAGGGGAAACATTTCAAATTATTGATTTTTTCTTTTATAGTACGAAATAAAAAAATCAAGTTTTTTAAGTTTAAGATTCTCACTGAATATCTACATAAATAATAAACTTGCATTTGTCAGTTTCTCTGTTTGGAACTTTTCTTGCAAATTTCTCAATCAAATGCTACAAATCTCATATCATTAGGCTTTTGTCCAAGGAGTCCCAGATTGCATATTGGCTTTTCCATTCAGAATCACTTTACCTATTTTTTTGCTTAGTCAAACTTTTTCATGCAAGGAATATGCTACATGATGGCACAATGTCATTGCCATCACCTTACAACTGGCTTCGATTTCAACTTTAGTTTTTTCATTACTTACAAAGTATTTCACATAAACAATACTTAACCCATGTGTAACTTCCTAAAAGAAATGAACATTACACTAAATACAATTGCTATGGGCTTACTCCACATATTTAGGTCTAAAATATGCATGCACAGTTCATTCAAAATCGTATGCTTATCACTTTGTGAACACGCATTCAGATGTTTCTGCATATTCAGCTAAGTCTGCCTTCATTACAACTTTACATTTACTTTACTTTCCATTAATTTAGCTCTGGTTCATTTCATATACTGCAATAAGCACGTTCAGCTACATTTTTCTTTACTACAGGTTTTATTCTTCATTTCTGTGAGCTTCGTTTCAACTCGTAAAACCACGTCATACACTGAATGCTCATAACTGTTTCACATTCCGTACACTATCATAAATACCATTACTATACTATATTATTTACTTTATGTGTAGTTTTTTTATTAAATAAAGTTATGTATGTGTAGTTTTATTAAAGTTACATATGTATAGTTTTATTTAATAAAGTTGTCTACAAGAGTCTGTTTGTCTGACCACGTTAGATTTTTTCAAATAAACCAGGATTTATCAGTCTAACACACACCTGCAAGGTACCACTACGAATGAAAATGATAAAGTACGGAAAAATCAAGTGAATGGCATGAAACTACTGCAAATGTTTTGCAGGTTGTGACTAGTTATAAAATATATTATTACATCAAACTTTCTACTTCAAGTGCATTAATTTTATTACAACACCATTATTATTTTGTTGAACTTATTTCTATTCATAATACTAAGTTTTACTCATTGTTCTCAAAATCCTGAGAAAGGACAACACTTCAAGAACTATACAGCCTCAAGTCTGACATGGTAAATAAAAGATGGGTAATAAGCAACCATTCACCTCTCTTGCATGCACTGTTTGACAATTCTCAAGGCACATCTCACTCATCAGTTCTTGCTGAATATTTATATATGTTTGTCTGATTATGCTAACTCTGTGTTTTAAATTTTGAAGATGGATCAGGACCATAAAAAATGATAGACAAGAATATGGCTGGACTCAAGTCCACATCTTCAATGCTGCCTGAGGACAGATTCCACAGGACTGTCCACTGTCCATCATTTGAAGCCCCCTTCCCAAAGTACTAAAAATAAATACTTGAATAAACAGAAGTCAAACAAAAATATATAATTTCCTTTAAGAACATTTAAAATTCAAATATTCAATTGTAACACCTCTAAGTTGTCAGCCATTTTTCACACCTCTGGTCTGACACATCAAGTGTTACACTCCTGAATGACCATTTCTAACTGTCACACCTGAATTGTCGGCCACTACTGATGACATTTCACACATCTAATGTCACACTGTGGGATATCATATAATTTCTTACATTTTGACAACTATTTATTTTGTGCTTCTGGTTTAACAACAATTTTTTTTACAAATGGATTAATAACATAGCTGTTTCAATAAAGATTTAATAAAATATAATTTCTTCATAACTATTTCCAAAGAATATCTGTATGCTTTATGAAGTATAGTCAAGTTTATTGGACAATAATTATTTTCTGTCCAGGATGCAAGCAACACCAATTTTCTGTATATTTTGTCAAGTGATTTCATCTAAAACATCATACAATAAGCCCATGTTGAAAAGAAAAGTCTAAGCACACTGGCTATAGCTTTGAGAATGTTATGCTCAGTTCAGTTAGTCTTAAGTCCATATAATATGCCGACGATTCAGAGTAATAATGCTTGGAGATGGCTCGAATGGGTAATGAAGAAAAACTTTAATATAAGTTTAACATAACAGCAAATGTACAACGTTTCAACAAGGTACAAGTAGTTTACAATGACACAGATGTATATATACAGTATAGAACAAATAGGTCACATGACCGGATATTGTTGCATGACTCAGACGAGATATCTTGGCACCCTAGGGTGTTGGTAATTGAACAAAACAACCATACTCTAAACCAACATCCTGGGGTGCCAAGATATCTCTTCTATGTCATGCAACAATACCCGGTCATGTGACCTCTTTGTTCCATACTATATATATATATATATTTCTCTGTGTCGGTGTAAACTACTTGTACCTGATGATGACAAACCTTGTCAAAACGTTGTACATTTGCTGTTATGTTAAACTTATATTAAAGTTTTTCTTCATTACCCATTCAAGCCATCTCCAAGCATTATTAGCCTCAAGATGGATTCCTCGTCATCGAATATGAATGCATATAAAACTTCATTAGAAAGGATAAAAAATAAAAGTACATATATTAGATATGCTTACCAACATTGTGTGACCACACTGTGTAAAAATTATATTTGGCTTGTCCTAAGTCCATACACTAAGCTAACAATGTTAAATAATCTTTATAATAAAAAAAAAATTATTACTACATGGAAGAATCATCAACTTAAAATACTAAACATTAAAAATAAGTAAACAATAAGAACTAATAAATAAAAGTAGATATTCTAATAAACAAAATTTGTCCTCATTTTGGTAAAATTATCACTTGTTTAGGAAAGAGTTGTAATTAATAAACAAAGCAAACAATGAGAATTTTTTTTAATAATAAAAATTAATAACAATAAAAACTAAAATTAGATTTAATAAACATAACAAGTAATATTAATCAAAGTAACTTTGAAGAAAGAACGGGGGTATAAAACTAACTGTTGTTGCTTAGAAACGAATAACACTCATTGCCCCTAAAATCTGCTAAATTTGAAAGAGCTAACTCTATAAGAACTATGTTCACTCTCAGAGTACATGCAAAGCTCATGTCACTGTTAGTAATTCTATTATAAAATAACTGAGGGAGGGTACACATTCTTTAGGTGTCACCAGCCCTGCTAATAGTAAGAATTTCATTGTTCTCTCCTACACAGTCAGTTGCATATAACATTAGAAAACATCAGGCACCATGACAGCGACAGGTGGGGGATGAAGGAGAAGTAATCAGACACATCAACAGGTATAAGGGGTCCTAGAGAGGCCAGAGTCCCAGAAAGGAATAAGACCTCTCATGTATCGGAGGAAACATGAAATCATTGGAAATCAGAAGCTCTGTATTTCAGAGACTTGATAATAAAAAGAACTACACTCAGTATGAACATATTCTGCCATGGAAATTGCAGTGATGGATAAAATTAAAAGAAAATTTGATTGAACAGTACCAGAAGTTTAAGTTTTAACTTTAAGGATAATAAATACAATAACACTAACAGAAAGATTATGCCATTTTACTTATAATACAAAAAAAAAACAGTTTTAAATCTATCTGCACAATGGAGTGAAAGAAATGTGGGTGATGTTACTATGTCATTTTCAATAATTGTTTTATTTATATTATTATTGCTCCACAGTTGATTAATAAGTTTATTATAAAAATCATTAATGTAAATGTTATATAATCATTTATTTTCCTTACCTTCTTTGCTAAGTTTCGCATTTGACATAGTTAAAGCAATATTTGTTCTCGATATTGTCTTCACTATAAATATATAGTGGAATAGAGATATTTAGTCTACCTATACCACGATATATTTAAATTTCAATATATATTTCAAGTCTACATAATGACAGTCGTTCATCTTTTCAACTATCGTAAAACAACGTTTCGAACGAGATGTTTAAGCGCCAAGAAAGGCCACACTCAGATAGATGATGATCTATGAAAAATAAGCAAAAATGTGATCAAAATACATAATAAAATTACATTTTAAAATATTTTGTTCAGTAATATACAGCTTTTATTTCAAAGCTCAATGCTTACAGAACATTATAGAGAATTTTTAGAACTAAATTATATATATAATGCTAGAAATGAATGGAGTCTTTATTAATTTCATGTTGCAACAAACTGTACTTAAAACTACACAATTATTCAATTATATAATTTTTATAATCTCTTTAGATATTTATATTGTTACGTCTCCGTCTGTGTTGATTGATTTTTCGTAACTTCGTTCCGACGAAACTTAAGCGACACAAGTTCTTTCTTAATAAAAACTGGTTTATTCTTTCCGAATACAACTTTACCGATACACTTAGTCTCAATACTCGCGCTAAAACAACACTGTAACGAACGAACGTTAACTTCAATAATACCCTGTGACTGCAGTTCAATTACTCACTATCTACCCACACATTACATTCCCCTCTTTTATATACCAGCCTACCCCATAACTAGTAAGAACTAGAACATTCGCCAAAGTACATGAT